ATACAACTGAATTATGAAAAGAGAGCATTTCTGGCATTCACCTAGGAATAAAACAAACTGGGGGGAACAACACATTCTTTAATGAGTGTGTTGTTGCCAAAATAGCACACTGCCACTTGGACAGAAGGCAACTTCATTGCCACCTCATCTCCTGAAACCCTTCATTGTGAAGCCCAGCTAATCATAAGCTGGCCCATCTCCCATCTTGGGCACTGCTGCTGATGAGCTTGTCAAAAACTCACACTAAAGAGCAATTGTTTCTCTCGGAGGCTGTGGCACCAAATGCCAGCTTGCCTCCCTTTTCCCAGCCATCACATTAATTGTGTTCCTTTCCCTCATTAGCGCACAGCCGGGAGGATGAAAGAGGCCTTTTGTCTGACTAATGAACAGGGCAGATCTACCACCAAATCCTACTGTCTTCCCCACAACCCTGCCTTCATCATGTGCTGCACAAAATACAAACATGGTGTTTCTTCAGAGCTGCGCACCCAGACAAATCCTTCGTGTGCAACAGTAGTATTGCCTCATTGTTCCCTACGTTGTGCATTGAGAGGATAAAGTGGTGCACACAGTTGATATAAGATTTGGGAGTGAGGCCTATGATCATAGCCTCCATATTCACCAGATATCCGTTTTGGAAAAGCTTAGGGAAGCAGTCCAGACAGCAATTTATCCTCCAGTCTAGCACACCAAAGCACATTCAGCCCCTGATTACTGGTGCATAAATGTCTGCAGGAATTAGTTGCAATTGTGCAAAAGTATTTGTCCAACAGAAGACCTAAACAACTGGAGCTCATAATCTTCTAAAACAGAGTTAAGTTCCCTGCCGATTTCTGCTTGCGGCAGCTAGGCAGCTGTGCCAATACAGGATATGTTACTGTCGTTAATTGGGGGACGGGGGGAGAATAGCGACATTGCAGATGCAGGTAAACTTTCCCAGTCAATACTGAGCATCAATAATTTTGCTTCTCTGAGCGCAGCAAGGCCTCCTCCCTCTTGCAAATTCCGTGCTGTTTTAATTAAGCGCCAGGGTATATTTCTTCCATCTCTGACAAACTGTGGCCAATGATGAAAGCACCTTTTAAAGAGCCAGCCTCATCTGTCTTTTCCTAATAACATCCATCACCAAAAGGGCATGAGCATTCCTCTCTACTATATCCTCCCCACTGACAGCAAGCACATAGTATTTTCAGTTCATTAAACACTAGCTGAGCTGCAAGGAAGACGCTCATCCAGGACCATCTATTCCAGTCCAAATGTATCATCAAGTACCTTTGATGAAATCCACATTTAAGCCCCTTTGAGGGGTGGCAGAATTGTATGGAACTGCAGCCAACACTGAAAAATTAGGGGAATGCCGCTTACCCATCAGATAATAATGAGAGCACTCATATTTAGTGCTCAGAGGAGAAACATATAAAAATGTGTGCATTAGCAATCATGGAAATCAAAAAGCCTCAATGTAAGGCAAGTCAGTGTAATGACTTGCTCTTTGCTTTCTGTGCAAAAGCTGAGATTTCAAAAAGACCTTTTGAAAGGGACCTGCTTTGGCCCAAAAGGTTATAGGCCCCTGTGCTTCTCCTGCACACTGGAGCTATCTGAGAGCTGCTTGGACACTTCAGCAATTAAGCAGCATATGAATACCTTCAATAAATAAATACTTTGAATTTCTAATAGTCCAGCAGCACCTGCCCAAGCAATTTCGGCAAACCTCATACAGTACTAGCTATGGTCCCTGGTCAACTGATCTATGCTGGAGCTCTGTACTGACTGGCCTCAGGTGAACTTCCATTCCTGTGCCTCAGTTCATTTGGGGAATGGGAACAACAGCACTCCAATCTTGCAGATTTGTGAACAGCAGTGGCTGAAATGAGGACACCTTAGATTATTTGTTCACCACAGAACTCATAGCCTTCGTCCAATAGATAGAGCTGCCTTTGCACAGTGCCCATCTTCAACAGATAACCAAAACACATATTTTCATCTTGTAAAAGTTCAGCTTTTTTAGGACACAGAGGCTGGCCTGCCTTCAGGGAGCATAATCTAGGAAGAGGATCCAGTTATCCTGATACCTCTCTGCCTCTCAGATTCTTCCCCTTGCAGCTTCTATGATTAACACCATCAGTGATTGTGATGGAGAAGACAAGAGCATGGGTCTGATCTGTGTTTTAGCACACTTATTTTGCAGGCCTCCTCCATCCTTCTCAGCACACTGTCTTCAATGGATTTTGGAGGGGGTGCATAGATAATTAATACCCTCTTCAAACTATAACAAAAGAGCCGATACATCCCCATCAATGCCTCAAGAGCCAGAGTTGGCTTGAAAAACAAATCGCTTTGGGGAGAGAGGGGTGTCGAGAGATCTCCTCCATCCAGCTCCCACATGTAACAGGTTTGGTAGGTTTTTGTAGTGCTTCAAAATGCACGCAAAACCTAGAGGTAATAGAAATGTGAGTGCATGGAGGAAGCAATGCTAAAAAACCACTTTCATGTCTCTTTAAAACTATTGACACACATAACAGGAGAGGGTTACCAACCCCTGCCTTCGCCAGATAAAACAAGAGAACGGGGCTAGAGTTGCCAGCCAAGCACCAAACATCTTAACCAACATTGAGAGAACACAGTGCTGCGGTCTGTCCATTCATGATAGTTTTAAGGGTGAAATCTGCAAGGGAGGGAGACCAATCCAGGACATTCACAGGCAATGAAATATACAATGGTTAGAAGATGGGATAAGGTGATGGGGGGGAGGTTTTCTTGCCCACTGACCCAACACAACAGCTGCACCGAGTCAAAAGCTTCTCTGCTTTCCCAACATGTCCATATGGGAAATTTAGGCTAGCACAGATTTACACATTCCCCCCCCCAATGGTGGAGAAACAAGCAGGCTCGATCCACCTGCCTCGCTTTCATTCCCTGCGAGGCTGTGTGGCCTGTCAAGGGAAAGAGCCGTGGACTTTTCGCTGAGCCCTGCATCACAGCAAAGTCAAAACAGGGCAAAAGGCAGGACTTACCCTCTGCTAACTATCAGTCTTAAGGCATCCAAGTTGCCATGGTAGGCGGCCCATAGGGTTGGGGTCATGCCATCCTCATCCAGCGAGTTGAGGTCCTTCTTGGTGGCTTCCTTCAGCAGGTCGAGGTAGCCATCCCTGGCTGCCCTGTGGTAGTGGTCGTTCATGGTGCAGCTTTACTCCCTGGCCGCTTCATTGGGAAGGGCGAGAGGGGATAGTAGGAAGACAGGCATGGAGTCTGAGGAGAGAGTTCCAGGAAAGCAGCTGGCTGAGAAAAGAGAGGAGGAGGAGGAGGGAGCTTTGTTACTTGGACACCTGAGAATCCCTGACCAGTGAGGGGAGGAACTCCTCATATTGAATGCAGGAGATTAGTTTCGGTGGATTCCTCTGGGTCCTAAGGATTCCTTGCCTCTCTCTGGTGTGCACTTCACCTTAGCAAACCCCTTGCAGAAGACGCTCCTTCTGTCCTCTTCCTAGCAGCAAAATGGGCTGGTAACACTGTGGAATTCTCTGCTCAGCTGTTGCCTCAATAGCTGAAGTTCTCGCTTTCAAGGGACTTAAAACTTTCTGGCTGCTACCTGCTATTCTGAGACCTTTTCTCCCTCCCCTCTCTTCAAATCTGAGATAACAGCGTTGTTGTTGTTTTGAAAGGAAGTTTCTGGGAGGGATAGTTGCCGCATACAAAAATCCACTTTTGAAAAGGCTTCCCTCCACAATTTCCACTCAACAGAGAACTCTACAACTGTGCGAAGCAGCGAAGCAGCTGACTTTTAACCAGTTAGACCCTTGCACCATCCAGTGCAGTATTGTAGGCACTGACTGGCAGCTCTCCAGGCCTTCAGGCAGGGGGTCTCTATCAGTCCTACCTGGGAGGGGTGGGCAATAGCCCTGGGACCTTCTGCATGAAAAACACCACCCGCTGTGCTCTGGCACTTCCTCCAGTGTTTACCCAAGTGAGAAGGCTCAATTTCAGAACAGCAGTAGTCGTCTTCCAGGAATGTTCTTCAGAATTGCTTTGTGCCTGTTTACTACGCAGTGTATGCCCACATCTAATGCAGGCTGCGCATGTGGTGCCTGTACGATGCATGTGCTTCCAGACACCTGTTTGTTGCATCAACCATCTTAGTATGCGTGACCTGAATTTCAAAGGGCTGTGAGTGACCACTAGTTCCCTCTTCCTGGCTCTCTTTGGGAATACCTGGTCTTCTGGCGCCATCTGTTGCTCAGAGAATGAAATTCACTTAGAAGCTCTACCAGAAATGAGTGGCACTTAAATGGCATAAGCTGTCATGGACTAGTGTCCAGAAATGTTTCTTTCCTTCCAGCCTTATTGAGCATGGAACTGCATGATTCACTCCTGCAGTTTTCTTAGGATAAATGGCTGCAAATGGCATTCTATTGCAATAGCATAAGTGGATATAATGGATTAATATTTTTTAATGTAAACTGCTTGGAGGTTTTGTTGGTGAAGTGGTGTATAAATCTGGTTAAGTCAGTGAACAACTCATTGCCAGGGTTCCTTCCCCACAGTGCAATAACAGCAATCTTCTAACTAATCTGAATTGTGCACTGTTGGCTAAAGGACACTGATATTTAAGCACAAACAAAAACACAGACCCACAGGAAACAAAACTGGCATTGCATGCCTAGGATAGTCAGGTGAAAAAGGGCTAAAGGTAAAGGGACCCCTGACCATTAGGGTCCAGTCGTGACCGACTCTGGGGTTGCGGCGCTCATCTTGCTTTATTGGCCGAGGGAGCTGGCGTACAGCTTCTGGGTCATGTGGCCAGCATGACTAAGCCGCTTCTGGCGAACCAGAGCAGCGCACGGAAACGCCGTTTACCTTCCTGCCGGAGCGGTACCTATTTATCTACTTGCACTTTGATGTGCTTTTGAACTGCTAGGTTGGCAGGAGCAGGGACCGAGCAACAGGAGCTCACCCCGTCGTGGGGATTCGAACCACCGACCTTCTGATCGGCAAGTCCTAGCCTCTGTGGTTTAACCCACAGCGGGGCTCCTTTGTCTTTAATAGTTGTGTAGAAAAGGGGTTGGTTGTGATTTTGTTCTGCTGCCATTTATACTGAAATCCCCCCTCCCCTGCATAAGAGCTCTGTACTCTTTTTCATCTGGCCCCCAACTCTAAAAATATGCAGGAAATAAGACACCGACAATGCAGTCCTTATATATCACATCTACTCCGAAGACCCAGTAAGTTCAATGGAGCTCATATAGGATCAGTGGAGTGTGTATAGGATTTCAGCGTAAGGAGGTTTTACTTCCAGCTCAAGACTGGCAGGTTGATTCTACGCCAAGGCCAATTGTTGCTGTTATGCTTTTTAAAAATAATAATAATGAAATGAAATGTGACCTGTGTGGTATGGTTTGCGATAAGATCCCACCTTCCCACCATTTTTACTGTCAAGTGACCTTGACCCTCTCTTCCTCATCCTTTCTTCCCTAAAACTAGCTACTGCACAAAATGGATCATGTGAGCCTTACTGATAAGTTTATGAAGATCACTGGTGGTGTAAATCACAGAGGCGTCCGGACAGATATAAATTCCAGGGCATCTGTGAGCTGGGGGAAAAGGAAGCTTGTGTGAAAGCAGCGGTGAGGAAAGAGAGTCGACTTGCGGGTGGAAAACAGGTAGGTGTTCTTTGTTGTGATTACAGTTCTTGTCTCTTCGTGCCTAGTTATAATATACCAACTTAGCGATATTAGTAACAAATCTTAACTCCAGCACCGCACGCAATCCAATGCATCTAAAGTAAGTTCAGTTTGTTTTCAACAGGACTTGTTCCCAGGCTAATGCTCATACGATTGCAACCTAGGGCTGTAGGTTGCAAAACACACCTGGGAATGCACTCTCACTGAATTTAGTGGGACATACTTCTGAACAGATATGCACATAGACTTGCACTGTAAGATGCTTGCAGGAGGAAGCGAAGTCGTTAAGAATCCTTTGGAGGCTATTACTGATCGGATGCCTTTTTAAGGTCCTCATTCGTTGATACACAGAAATCAAAGTTCTCCAACTGTACTGCTGCATTGTGAAGAAGCAGATTATGTAGAGGAATACTGCTGATGGAGTGTATTTTCAATGGAGTTTGTAGGAGCCAACGCCAATGGCTGAGGTCCCTTCGCCCCCGCCCCCCAATATAATATTTGAAGGGGTCAGCCTCCCCGCCAAAAAGTTGATGGGCATTGCCATTCAAATGGTCTGTGTGCACTATGTCTTGTGATTGATATTTTTATTCAAATTGGCACCCCAGGTGTGCTCCCCTAGCTGATCTGTTTCTTCACAATGCAGTAGTACAACTAGATAGTTCTTGCTGCTTGCAAATCCCTCAAAATAAAGGCCTTAGAAAATAACAGAATAGGCCTTCACAACATAGGAGCTTGCTATGGAAAGAGCAGGTGAAAGATTGCACCTTGAAGCCCACCTTTGCAGGTCTTTTCTGTTCTCTTTTTATGTGCATCTTCCCCCTTTTTCTAACAATACCATAATTTTCGATGACACCTGGACCCACTAACATAGGTGTGTACATTTTCTCTCTTCCTGCCCCCACCTCCAGGACAGCAGCAGCATCTCCTCGGTGCCCATTAAATCATGACCGAAGTATCAATGTGGCAAGACTGTGAGATCAAACGTGAGGATTCCATGATGGGCTCCGGCCACAAGGACGATAAGGGCAGCTTTGGACCTGACCCGCTATCTCCCACCTCTCCCATTGGCTCCCACAAGTGCCCGTCTCCCTCGCCACACAGCTCCAAAGAAGTCTGGAAGAAAGGAGGGCGTGTCTTCTCCATTCTACTAGCCATCAATTTGGTGCTTCTGTCCTGCACACTGGTCAGCGGTGGGGCTTTCCAAGAAGTAAAGCTGCATGACTATGATGTCTTTTTCATGCTCATCATTGTGATGCTGATCAACATTGCCTGGATGCTCTTCTACATCTTCAGAACCTCCCGGCTGCAGGGTGCCATTCCTTGCAAGGACAACCATGCAGGGCCCATCTGGCTGAGAGGTGAGCAGGAAGCGATATGATGCTGGGTGGGAAGGACAAAGCGTAAACATGGGAATGGGGCAAATCCATGAAAGGGGTGCTGCTGCATTCATAAGAACATAATAAGACACAGCTGGATCAGGCCAGTGGCCCACTGTAGTACATCAGCCTATTCTCACAGTGGCCAAGCACAGTCCTGCCTATATTTAATCAAAAATCTCAACTGTTCTCTAAGTTCTGCGAGACTTGCTGTTCTGTTGAGAGCCATAAGCGGGAAATACCTTCAGTGTCCAAGAAGAAAGCTAGGTAAAAAGTTATGTCACATTTGGTGTGGCAGCCAGAGGTGATGCCAGGATCTGGAGCATCTAACCCAGGTTCATGAGTTTTCAAAGCAAAGCCGTTGATCCAGTACAATCCCTAAAACACACACACACACACACACAACCACTTCTCCTCCAGTGCTTTGGAGAACATTAAGGAGGGTGGATTTAAGAATTACAGAAGCAAGCAAGTGACATACTACTGCTGGGGAGGCTCAGATGTCTTGTCTGCCTGTTAAATAGAAAATGGCGCAGTGCAGATCTTTTGCCAAAGGGGCCCAGCAGAAATCTGGAGCCAGCTCTGAGTACCCCTGTGTAATCAAGGACTTGGAAGAGTTGGAGCTCCATTTACTGAGACGGATTCTGCACCCTGACATTGAGTTTGGACTTGATTTGCTTGAGGCAACACACACACACGTATTCCATTTTATAAAAGCAAAAATAACCCAATAAGACTCCTGTTTCAGCAGACTGGTACCTTGTGCATGAAATTCCATTGTTGTTACTTTATGTGGGCTGCTGGCATAAAGGATCCATGGCTGTGGGTAAAAAGACAAAATAGAGGAACTATAGGAGTCTAGGAATCTGATGTGCACAGAATGTGATTGCATTTTTTTTCCAAAACAGGAGGCTTGGTCTTGTTTGCAGTCCTCTCGCTGGTAATGGATGCTTTTAAGACCGGATATTATTCCAGCTACTATAAGTGCCTGTCACCCATCAGAATAATGTTTCCAGTGGTACAGGGTGTGTTTGTGATCACTCAGGTGAGTTGGACTCTTCTTTTGGGTACATAGGAGATGGTCTATGGTGGGGGAAGCCAGCCTGGGACTCTCCAGATGTTGTTGGACCCCAAATCCCATCAGCTCCAGCCAGCATGGCTAAGGCTTAGGGAAGATGGGAGTTCAGATCTTGCTGTGACTGATTCACTGAACCCAGCACATGCAGCAACCTTAGCTGAGATGAGGAAGCAAAAGGAATGGGTGGTGGCAAGTTCTTTAGCCTCATTAGCTGTGCTTGTGTTTACTGGAGACTGTTCTTAGTAAGGACCTTGTCTGCTAGGAGGAGAGTGGATAAAATTATGCCACTGTTTCCTTTTTGTGTGGCCTCACAGCTGCCTGGTTAATATACTTGGAGAGCCTCTTGTTTATCTTTTGGATTACTTTTAGACCTGGAAAGGTTAACATTCCTGTAGAAAACATTCTAATGGGTGCAGGAGAATCTGTCACTAATTAGATCCAGGACACTTCCAAACTATAGGGTTTTTTTTGGGGGGGGAGGGGATATCTGAGTGTATTCTGCAACATGTCACAGATTCAGCAATTGTGCATTAGTGGTGGATTTATACTTGGCTGTCCACGCAGCATCCTGCTTCATTAGTTTAACACTCTTCTACAGGAATGATGTATAGAAACAGCTGGGTGGGAAATGAATCCTACAGCCATTTTATATTGGAAGGGCAAGGATATTAGTAAGACTAGCCATGCCTTTAAGGCCCCAAAGTGATCCTTGGGAGTTGGCGAGTTTGCATCGCTTAGAAGTGGAAGGAATATTTTCTCTATAAGCTGGGTAAAGGGACAGAAGTTACTAAATAGGATAAGAAGAGTAAATGTGACATCAAATTTCTTTGCTCTCTTTTTTTGCCTCTTCCATTCATTCCCTGCACTTCATTCCCTACCTACTTTGGAATGTCATTTTAAATATATATACTTCTTCCCCGTTCTAGACTGTCTTCCTCTGGATGTCTGCCCAAGACTGCATCCACAAGCATCTGAATCTTACCAGGTAAATATCCAGGCCACCTAACCGAGTCTGTCCATGCTGCTTTGTCATTTTATTAAGCCTCAGCCTAGGCTGGCTGAACAGAGGGCCGAATCCCAACATGCTAGCCATGACATCATCATCAGTCATGAAAGACAAAAAGGGTATCTGCAACAAAATGCAGGATCCTGTTCCGTCTTAAAGGGCTCTTTGAAAAGGCCAGCCAAAGACATGTTGCTACTTGAGGTAGAACAGCAAATGATATCATCCTCTCAAGACCAGCCAAGTTATTCTGGGAACTGAGTCAGAAAACCCCACAAGTATCTCTCCCCCTCCCTGGCAGTAAATATACAATCATAATAAGTAAATAACAACTTGCTGCCTTCTCATGAATCCCAGAATTGGTTGCCTGAAGAGGCTGTCTTGCTCTACCTAATGGTGGGTGTCCTCTGCAAGTTCCTGCTCTTTATTGACTCCAGAGGATAAGTTACAAGTAGGTAGCCATGTTGGTCTGCCGTAGTCGAAACAAAATAAAATAAAGTTTAAAAATTCCTTCCAGTAGCTTCTTAGAGACCAACTAAGAAGTGTGCATGCACACGAAAGCTCATGCCAATAACAAACTCAGTTGGTTTCTAAGGTTCTACTGGAATGATTTTTTTTATTTTTTTCCAGAGGATAACTACATGATGGAAGATCTCTTCTCTCTGCCTGTTGCTGTTGTTGGTCTTAGCCCTCCTGATGGAAATAGCTAACAGCAACAACAGCAGCTTAGAATTTTTATATTGAGCTTTTTTTCAGTGCTCCGAAAACCCACCTCTTGCATTTATTGTCATGGCAATATTTACAATACCTCTATAAGCTTGGCCGGTCCTATTGTTTTGCTATTCCAGAAAGTGGTGTATAATCCTGTAATGAACAGAGTTTAACTCCATGGTTCCACTCTTTCTCTTCCTACAGATGTGGCTTGATGCTCACGTTGACCACCAACCTAGCAGTGTGGATGGCAGCTGTAACAGATGAGTCAGTGCATAAGGCTGAATCAAAGAACCCAATTGCAAATGTTACACACAGAATGGGTAAGCGGCTCAAGCAAGGCAATCCATTTAGAATAATTTAGATTAAAACTCACAAGGCTTGCTCACTCACACATTACACTGAACTCAGGTACAAGCTGTCTCTGCGCATCTACAAGTGGTTGCATGAAGCAATGTATACTTGTAGATTTGCACAACTCGATTACTGAGTACATGGACTGCACACCTGGTTGAATGTTAATATGTGAATAATTCTACTGGTGTACAGCTCAGCTCCTTATGTACACAGATTATACACTTGTCAAATGTTAATGTATGGACATGCCTACAGTGCAGTGAATAGCCCTACAGAGCAGCAGTTTCATAGTGGAACGTTTTACAATTTTCTTTACTTTTGCTTATATTAAAGAGCAGTTTACCCAAAAGCAGACTTCAGTGGAAATTTCCATGGAGTAAGGTTGAAATTAGGGTCCCCACTTCTTAACCAGCCCATTTCTGCCCTATCTCCTGAACATTCCAAGGCCAGGAAAAATTAGTTGGGTAGCGGTGGTGTTTCTTTGTTTTGTGAGGTGCTACATAGATTATTGTCCCCCTTCTGCACCACAACTCACAAACTAAAAGACTCTTCCTGGGAAGACATCAGGAACAGGCCTCGGCCTCACAGGCTCCCATCCCTTCCCTGGTCTTCCTACTCCGTTCTGGAAAGTATGAGAAGTGAATCACCAACAAAGGAGGCCTGCTGTTATTTGAACAAGAAATCTCCCCAGCCACCAAGAAAATAAACTGTTTCTAAAAGGGTAGTCGGCCATTCAGTCTCTCATTTAGCTCCTGTAAGAAGGGGTTGGGAGGGAGAGCATGGGCCTGTGTGAGTGAACCTAAGGGCCCCTCTTAGTCTCCCTCTCTGAGAATGATAACATCCAAAGAAACCCAAAATAATCACACACACACACACACACACACACACACACACACACCCTGCCCCTTCCCCTACCCCTACCCCTACCTCTTAGCCTAACTAGTTTCAGAGTTGTTGGGAGAGGGGACATCTGTGTGTATCATTTTGACCACCACAGAAGAAAAGCAAGATATAAATGCAATGCACAAACCTGTAGAGTTTTGAGAGGGCTTGAAGAATCATGGAGATGGCTCTGAAGTGGCAGCTCTCATTTCAATCCCATTCCAACAAAATTCATAGATATTGCAATCTTTGGCTCGTTTCTTCTCAGAGTCCTATTTTGTTTAAAGAACAAAAACCTTTCACAGAGCAGTAAGTAGCCCCTAACAAGCTTGTTTTCTCTTTGTTGCAGCTCTGTTAATGATGAGGGCGGCCTCGCCGACAGAAAACTGTGCCTGCAAAAGCCAACTCTGCAAGATCTTCCAGAATGGCTATTACTGGCTGTACCCCTTCAATATCGAGTACAGCCTCTTCGCTTCCGCCATGGTCTACGTCATGTGGAAGAACGTTGGCCGCCTCATTGACCCCCATGACAACCATATCCACCAACTGAAGTTCAAGCTTTTCAGAAGGACTTATTTTTTGGGCACCATCGTGGGGTTCTTGGTCCTTGTGACGGGCATAGCGGTCCTGATTGTGTATGAGATTCAGGTAAATTCAAAGGAAGACTCTAAGAGGACCGACCAGGTGCTCACTATGTATTACGGCTTCAACATTGTTTGCCTGAGCCTGATGTCCGCCATCTGCATCGCAGGCTCCATTGTTTATAGATTTGACAAGAGGGACATGGACCATCACAAGAACCCAACCAGAACTTTGGATGTAGCATTATTGATGGGTGCAGCCTTGGGGCAATATGCCATTTCCTATTACTCTATTGTGGCCACAGTGGCCAGTTCACCAAGGGACACTATAAATGCCCTCAACTTGAGCTATTCCCTGCTGATGCTTGCTCAACCCACTTTCCAAAACATTTTCATCATTGAAGGCCTCCACCGGCAACCCCAGAAGAGGAAGACAAAGTTGACCCTCAGCAGAAGGATATCTATGGGCTCACTTTTGTCAATATGAATGCAGTATCGCTCCGTGTTCCCTGAGAGTTTGAGTGCTCTGCCGCCCAGCGCACTGCCAGGGTTAGCCATTCAGACTTCTGAAGCGAGGCGGTCCCTTAAAGCCTCCAAGAAAATGAACTGGAGAAGAAGATTCCTAAAGGAGATCTCAGTGTTCCTGCTCTTGGGGAATGCCATTGTAAGTAAATCAGCTAATTAATTTGGAAAATTTCTTATTCCTTAGGGGGGAAATACATAGCAGCAAAGCGTGCAAGGAACTCCTGCTCTGAGGCGGGGGGGGGTGTGTAGATGTACATCTTGAGTATTTCCTTTTATAACCAGTTGCGGTCATGTTAATTACACCAACACATTTTCACGTGTGACAAAAGATGTAGCTGTAGGGTGTGTAGTGGAGTCTCTGATAGAACTAGGTGTTAACAAGAGACATGGAACTCTAGTAACAGTGTGCTTTCTCTCTCTCTCTCTCTGCTAACAAAACTTACCGTATTTTTCCGTGTATAAGACTAGGGCTTTTCCCTAAAAAATAATGTCAAAAATTAGGGGGCGTCTTCTATATGGGGCCATCTCCCCCATTTTCTTAAATCTAAGCCCCCCCCCAAAAAATAGGGGTGTCTTATACATGGGGGCATCTTATAGAAGGAAAAATACAATATATTACACTGTATTTTTTTTTCTATACAGGGCTCACCCACACTTCCACCTGTGCCATGCTTTCAAGGGTTTCCAGATCCAGAATTTCCAAGCTGTTTTACCTCCTTCCACTGCTTTCCCCTGGAAAACTGGCATTTTTCTGCTGCATTCGAGCAAACCTTTGCTCCGATTCAGCGGTAAAACCCGGGTCTCCCAGGGCAAACAGTGGGACCAAAACAAGTGCTCAGACGTGGAAATCCTGGATCTGTGCCTACAGTAGAAAACACAGCACAAAAGGAAGTGTGGATGAGTGGGAGAAACGCATGGCATGACGGCATCATCTGTGCTGTTATTTTTAAATGCTATTGAGAAGTGAGCTCCAGGTCTTTTGAAAAGCCTAGTTTCCGCCCTTTATAGCTTGCTGTATAAAACTATGTAATACAGAGGGTGCTTATAGATTCCTAATGTTCTTGTGTGGTTTTTTTTCCCCTTTCTTTCCCCAAACAGCTCTGGGTCATGCCAGCATTTGGAGCCCGGCCACAGTTTGACAACAAAACGGAGCTCGCGTTCTACGGTTATCCCATGTGGGCTGCCATTGTGGACATCTGCCTGCCATTTGGCATCTTCTACAGAATGCATGCAGTGGCTAGCCTACTGGAAGTCTACATCATGTCTTAATCGGAACAATGAAGAGTTTCTTATAAGGACCTACACTATCATGCCCCTCCCAGGACTGGATGATGCACTTAATTGGGGGGGGGGGAGGTTGAGTTTCACTTTGATGTCAGACCCTGGTGATTAGTGGGCTAGCAATAGCCCACATGTACCCTAGGGATTTTGTTTTTCTTTCTTTGTTTTCCCATGTGTGTTTTGTCGTTCTATTTAAGTGCCTCCTTTTCTTCATCCTACTAAGGGTTGTTCATCTTTGATTACTTTTCTCCCCCCCTCCCCCTACCACCACAAAATGCTGACACGGACTGTTTGTAGCCTGAGGCTAATTCCTGGTCACTTTAAGGCCTGTTCAGTCAACCAGTCTAGGGAAGGTCAGTTTGAAAGAAGAATCAAGTGAATGTTGAAGCCAGTTAAACACTCCGCAGTCGTTTGGATGACTTTGTAGGTTCCTGTTGTCCCCCCCTCCACGGAGACTAAATGCAGCGGTTATTAACGGCCTTGGGGAGTATGACCCTGTTGGAACTCACACGATAAGTATAAGGCTGAAGTCCCAGAGGTTTCAGTGAAACTTACTTGCTGTCCTGAATCAGGGCCTGCAGCGTGCAAGAGTGTAGGGTTGTGCTTTCAAAAGGGTATTGAGATATGTTAGTTTTTAAAGGTAGCTTAATAGTTTTTTTAACGAGTCTATTTTTATATGAAAAAATATTTATTGATTTTCATTCTGACAGCACACACACACACACATATATGATTGAATAGGGGCATTGAGGCAATCACCATTGAACTCAATACAATGGCAGCGCCTAAAGTGCAGGCCAGGCATGCTTAAAAAGGTCAGAGCCTCTTCCTCAGCTCAGATGTTGTAGGAAGCAGGGTGTTCATTGTTACCCTTGCTTGGCCTTCAAAGTCGACTGAAAATTATTGGGTGAGGTGTCTGCAAATGTGTCCTACATACGGTGGGATTTGATGGCTTTTCTTTTCAAAGTCTCCACCAACACCAGCTTTTAGTCCAGCCTTCCAAACCTAGAGGCCTCTGGATTTATTTTATTTTTTACTACAATTCCCATCACCCCTTGCCATTGGGAATTGTAGTCCAAGGCATTTGGAGTGCATCAGGGTTTTGGAAGGCTGTTTAAAGTCAATGCAAAGCTTTGGAAAGCCTAACCTGCTCAAGATGCTCTTCCATATTGGCTAGGGCCATCATATATGTTACAAATCCTTCATAGGCAATATACAGGGAATATTCTCTCAATGGAAAGTCTTGAGGCTCATTCAGTTAGAATATCCCTGCTCTTTTTCGGTTGTTATTCAAGTATCCCCGCCCCCATGAATTTTCAATGACTGTCAACATGTAAGCAGCCCAGATAGACACTCATACACTTGTGGTTAAAATTTAGCACATCTAAATCTATGCCATGGTTTAGTTACGTTCTTCCACTGGAAGCCACAGCTGCAACATTAGGATGGAGAGTAGAGGTGATGGTTCCGTCAGCTGATTCCATTCCCCCCAAATGTTTGTAGATCCAGATTTACTAGATACACACCTACATGCACTGCCAGGATTTTAAAAAACCATGAAACTGTATTCACAATGGAAAGAAATGTCTTTTGCTGCTTAAAACATGGAGGGCGGGTGTTGGAAAATCTAAAATGAACAAATAAATGAAAATCATGTTTGATTTGGGTGAGCTTATTCTCTTCTTTTGAAATGCCTTAAGCATCAATGCAGACGGGTAAGGTTGGGTTGGGGTTTGAGCTGATTTACTGCGTCAGATACCAAAAGTCATTTAGAAGTTTGGAGTCTACATTTCCATGGATACAGTTGGGGGAAAGAAACATTTTTGTGCAGTAGTAAAAATATTTTAGCTGGAATCCTAAGAGTCAGCATAAGTTAATGGAAGGAAGGTTCCCACTGTTCCCCCTTCACTGCACTTTAAGGTGCTAATGTGAACACACCCTAGGATAGGGCATTGAGGCTGCTGAACAGAAATCACCAAAACAGCTTCGCGGCCCCTCAGAAATCCATGTCCAGGGCCATGGTCCCTTTGCCCTGTCCCATGCTACGCCCCTGGCCCCTGCAGACAGACATAGCCATGGGCAGTGCGAACCATAGTTCATTATCTAAATCCTGGTTATATTGTCAAATATACAATGAAACCCGATTTTGTTTTCTGAAGTTAAGCCCTGCTTCCCTCAAGCATCTGTAAAGAGACAACCGAGTTGCGTTTGGCTGGCATGCAGGAGAGAGCATTCTGTAGAGTTTCACCTAGATTTGGGAATTTCCTTCTGAGGGAGGCCTGCTTAGCCTCATCCCCAGCGGCCCTCTCTCAGCTTGCAAAGATTGGTCTCTTTCACCTCCTGAATTCTACCTGCCCAGTTACTGTTTAATTTTTATTGGCTGTCTTCTTTTGATCTCTGAAGACTTTTTTAAAATCACGCATTTTTGCAAATATCTATTGTTTACCTCATAGTGAGAGTTTCAACGGAAAGATGGGGAGTAAGAGTTTAGAAAAAGAACTAAGCAGGTGGTTTTTAAAGGACACAGTTAAACACACTGTTTGCTGATGGTCCTTACATGCCATTTTGTTTGCAGGAGGCGCTAGCGCAGTGTTTGCCAACCTGGTGCCTTCCAGATGTTTTTGACCAAAAAACCCCCACTAGTGCCAGCAAGAGCAGTCAGTTCTAGTCCAAAACCTCCGGAGAGGGGCATCAGGTTTGCAGAGGCTGCCCTAGTGTGTAGCCGCATTTAGTGTTCTGTGTACATTTCAGGGCTGCTCTTGGCCTATAAAGTTTTCAAGATCCAACATGATCAACAGACAGGCCATTTCCCTCTGTCCTGCCATTAATTTTACCTCAGAAGAGCATAGTGCCCTTGTGGCACGCTGCTATCCACAGGCACACTTGGGTGGTATTATTTCAGAAGCACCCACAACACCTTTTCATTTGGGCTAACATGTCACATTTGGGCTTTGCAAGTTGTAAGATATTTAGTGGTGCCAGCAGCAGTTAATTTAATGCCCACCCGTTGGTATGAAGCTGCAACCAAGGTGTATTCATTCCTGCCTCAGTTTATGGGCAAATGAGTGGGGCCTAGGAGCTGGCAGGGGAGCAGCTCATGTCTACACAAACACAAATACAGTGGTACCTCGGGTTACATACGCTTCATGTTACAGACGCTTCAGGTTACAGACTCCGCTAACCCAGAAATAGTACCTTGGGTTAAGAACTTTACCTCAGGATGAGAACAGAAATCGCGCGGCGGCAGCAGGAGGCCCCATTAGCTAAAGTGGTACCTCAGGTTAAGAACAGTTTCAGGTTAAGAACGGACCTCCGGAACGAATTAAGTTCTTAACCCAAGGTAACACTGTACATTTATGCTTACAGAAAGGCCCCACACGACCAGCTCTACCATTAGGTAACATGAGATGGCTCTCAGGCCCCTAATTTTGGATTGCCACAAAAGGCCAACAAATTGTAAGAAGTTTAACTGCATTGTTATATGTATACTGCCAGAGAGAGGTACGTTGGAACTTTTTTTGCCTCAGATGCCAAAATAACTTAGCCAGTCTTGGGTACCTGACTTTTGGGGTCGGTGTGGGGAGTGACATTTGTTGTTCTGCTTCAGGCCAGCCCTGCAGAAAAGTTGCCATGTTGTAAATGCAGCAGGTGTGTTAAGCGGCCTCATTAGTCGTTGGTGACTGAACCAAGGCCAACACAAAAGCCAAGACTTTTCACTGTCTAATTACTTAACAATGGCTCTAATCTTGCTAATGGGCAATGATAAGAAAGCTCTCATACTTTAG